CTCCCTTGAGGCTGAATTTCACAGACTGTAACCTACATCTAGAAAACCATCCTCTCCTGTAAGATCTAGTTCCTAAGGTCATCCTCATTCTGGAAAAGTACATGGGGAGGAGGGAACTTGTTCTTACTTCCCTGCAAGGGCCTCTAGAATCACAACAGTCTGGTCTCAGGAAATCCATGGATTGCTTTAGGCAGCAGATACTAATCTCTAAAATGAAGGTGATCAAAACTAGCTCAACTTGGTGACATTAAAGATATGTGAAATTATATACACACACACACACACACACACACACACACACACACACATATAATAATTAGACTAGCCCTCTGCAAAGCCACAGGGAAGATGAAGACAACTAAATTAATAGTTCATATATTGCTTGATCTGGGCAAATACCATCTATGAATGGAAAAATGTCTACATTATTTAGAAGGCTCAAGGTCGAAAAGAAGACATAGCTACATTAAAAGTGGCTTCTAATGCAATAGGACATACCCCAAAATGCTGGTTTCTTCTACCTTTTTACCACGTACTCCCTTCTCACTCCAATAATTTTTGGCTTTCAGAATTGTCTTACACGTTTATTAATCAGTGCAGTCTACCTGCCCTGAACCTCTAGGGTCTACTACCAAATCCCTTGATAAAGCTTTGTCTCTCACCTCTGCATTGAGGATTTGGCACAAAGTTGTCCACACAGGCAGCTTCTTTGGACGTTTCTTTGTACCAGGCCCAGATCTACACTTCCTTATTCTGGTATTCATCCCCCCAATGCTATGTGGTAGCTTATGATCTTCCTGCAAATGGAGATTATGTCTTCTCTCATTGGGGGAAGCTGCAGAGCAGGGCTGCTTGTTTGGGTCCCTAAGTGATACAGAGCTTAGTTAGACAACGTTTTCTACTCTCCTCATCCTTTTTCTCCCCATGTCCCCATGTTCTGAGCTTCTTTTATGAGCTTTCCATCCAGTTGCGGCTCTGAAGTTCTAAGAAGAGTTTGTTTGGGTAAGATCAACCAGAAGCATCAGAAAATGGAGGGAGAATTCTGCTCCTCCACCCTCCCTCCTCTGCTCATCTTTCCAGAATGACTCCTCCCGGCTGTGCCTCTTCCCATATGTTACAAGCATATTTGGTCTGTATGGTTTCTCCCTAAATTAATGGAGCGTCCTTCTTTCTAAAAGTCTTCTTTATATAGTGTGATATATAATTCTTACTTAGCCAACCCATGATCTAATCCGTCTTTATAATCCAGGTTTTATCTCTCTTCTCTGTGCATCCCTTCCACAAAGTTCTATGAAACTTGTCTGTACATTTTCCTGTATTTGTGAGTGCTACCTGTTTCAAGTAGGTTCCTTAGTTCTAAATTGATTAGATGAGACAAACAGGGACTGGAGACAAATAGTGTGGCCTAATAACTACATGCTAGACCTTGACTCAGTCATCAGGATTCTCACTGTTTACAAAGCACTTTCACAATTAACATTTCATTAGATCCTCTTAGAACCCCTATATGGTAAAACACAGCATATATCATTTCCGCTTTTTTTTTTTATTGTACTTTAAGTTCTGGGGTACACGTGCAGATCTTGTAAGATTGTTGCATAGGGTACACACAGGCAATGGTGGTTTGCTGTCTATAGAGCAAGAAATTAGCCCCAGAAGAGGCAATAACTCACTTAAGAACATACAGCTATTTTGTGTTAGAGACAGAATTAGTGTTCGTATCTTCTAGGTCAAGTCCAATCTAGGTGGCGGATCACTGGGCTGCTAACTACCCACCATTTAAATTTTATTTATTTATTTTTTTAAGATGGTTTTCATCATGTTGCCCAGGTTGATCTGATCTTGAACTCCTGAGCTCAGGTGATCAACCCACCTTGGCCTCCCACAGTGCTGAGATTACAGGCATGAGCACTGCCCTGGGCCTCTACCCTTTTAGTTTTATAAACTGCACTTTTAGGGCTTATTGATATTAAGCCCCAGGTTATGCCATTATCCCCTCCTGGAAAACACAGTAGATCCTAGAAATTGGGGTCAAATCTCAGATTTTTGTGTTTTAGAATTACATATTTATTTTTCTGCATGAACGTATGTAGGGAGGTGCATTTCCCTAGATGACTTGAATATTCTGAATGAGTGCAGGGGAAGTGTCGAGCCATTTGGCTCAGATCCTCTCAAATGGAGAAAAAAAAGAAAGAAAGAAAGAAAGAAAAAGAGAGTGAGACCGTGGGAGGCAGAGAGGATGGGTGGCTTTCTGTCCAGTTGTGGCTCTGAAGCATTAAGAAGAGTTTGTCTGGGTGAGATCAGCGGGAGGGATCAGAAAACGGAGAGAATTCTAGCTCCTCCACCCTCCCTCCTCTGCTCTTCTGTGCCTCTTCCCATATGTCACAAGCATGTTTGGCCTGGGTGGTTTCTCTCTAAATTAATGCAGGGCTCCTCTTTCTAAAAGCCTTCTTTATATAATGTAGAACATGGCAAGCTCAAAGAAAAATTAGCTACCCACATCCCCACAGATGAATAAAAATCTGGGCCTTGTTTATGCTTTCCGCAAACAAGCATCAATTAGAAAAAGTCAGAAGGGTTGTGTTTTGCCTTCTAACTTGAGAACATCTATGAGGAATCTACAAGTTCTTCTTCTGAGTGTGGCTAAGAGTTGAGATGTCGTGACAAGACCACATTGATGCCTACGAGCCTGTCTGGGACATTTTTTTCAGGAATAGGAGGAAACTTTATTTCACTGATTGTTTTGGTTGTATATCAAAGGAAAAAACACTTGAAGAAACTGCTTGACATGTGGTGAGTCTTATCTTTGTCAAACTGGAAGATACCAGGTTTTAAGTTGCGCTAGAATGATGAAAAATAGTGAAGTCAGGGGATCTAGGCTTGTACCTACATACAGAGTTTGTCTAGCCACTGTCCCAGTCTGTCATTAGGAAAGTATTTCATTAGGTCAAATCAGAGATGGTTTACACCTAATCTGTGTGTGCCACTGATACCTCCTATGCTCATGACAGACATCATCAATCTATGGAGACCCTCTCTCATACTTTGCAGGAGTAGAGCTTCAGGGTTCTTCGTAACATTTTCCACTAGAGAATAGCTGTCTGCTAAAATCTATTGTTCATCTTCGTAACAGATCATCACACCTTTCCTAATTTTTAAAAAAATCTGTTGCCAGGGAAGAAGTATTTATCCTCATTCTACCAACACATTTTTCTTTGTCCCAGTACCACTCAACAAGTAGAAATGTATTTCAGTCGCATCTTTTTAAAGTATGGATGAACTTATCCACAAGTGACTTTCAACAACTTTATAAAATTTGGAATTAGTCTAGATAAAAAAATCAAGTTTGGATAACTGAGCTAAAAACAATTTGACGTGTTGCGTGTGATCCACCTGAATCCAAATACTCAGCTGGCAAACTCACAAGAGACAGGCTCTCTTTCTTCTGTTGTTTCTGATCCAGCCATCCAAATGAGCAGGGAACAAGTTCCAAATGCAGCATTGTTCAGCCTTGTGGATTAGTATAAATTTTGGCACTAAGACGAATTAAGATTCAGGAAGTGGCAGATAAAAAGATTTTTCCAAACAAGCTTCTATTTCACATACTCAGGTGGGATAGAATTAAATGCAGTGACCTGGAGATGAAGAAGAATTGGTGTGCAGACAAGCCAAGGGTATTGCATCTGGAGTCAGCGAAGGTGGTGGGTTCTGATCTGCAGTCTCCTCCTATCTTGTGAGATTTTGGATCTTTCCCTTCCCTTCTTCAGATGTGCAGCCCTAATTGGTGCTAAGCACCCAGTCCAGTCCCTGTTCTGATTCCATAAATTTGCTTCTCAGCTTCAGAAGGGTGAATAGATAATCCTGGTGTTTCTCCGAGCTATGCCTGGATGCATTTTTATATTTTAAATGACTTGAAATCTGAAAATGGAAAAAATGTTTCAGATATCATCCTTCTTTTCCCAGTTTATATTCTAGGAAAATAACTTTTTATTGTGTGCTCAGTGACTCTCAATTGTATGAGCAGGAGTTTCCGGAATTTTTATATTACTAGTTATATTGTCAGTTCAGCCATGCAGCATTGGTTTATCATGTAATATACAGTTCATACTCAAATTCTGCTAATTACCCCAAAATGAAGAAACATGATTTTTTTATTATTATAATACGTATCGGGGTAGTTTTGTTGATAAACTTGCAGTGAGGTCTGCCTGCTTTGGGTCTCCTCATTTTACTCTTTCCTGTTGAGTCTCAACCATCCAGAATATCCTCTTTCTATTCTTCATGGATTTTTTTTTTCTTTTCTTTTTATTTTTGAGATGAAGTCTCACTTTGTCACATAGGCTGGAATGTAGTGGCCCAATTTCGGCTTACCACAACCTCCGACCTTCCAGGTTCAAGCAACTTTCCTGCCTCAGCCTCATGAGTAGCTGGGATTACAGGCACCTGCCGCCACCATGCCCTGCTAATTTTTGTAGTTTTAGTAGAGATGGGTTTTCGCCATATTGGCCAGGCTGGTCTCAAACTCCTGACTTCAAGTGATCTGCCTGCCTGGGCCTCCTAAAGTGCTGGGATTACAGGAGTGTACCACCATGCCTGGCTATTCTTTAGAAAATTTCAGTCTCTATCCTATGCATTCTTTAAAGTCCAGCCTTTTATTTTCTCTGCGAAGCCATTCTAAGTCATCACAGTCAATTTTTTATCATTTGTTACACACTTGATCCTGAACAATCTTGTTGTCTTCATATGATGTCACCCTTTTATCACTTGCCCATTTGTGCATTTGTTGCCCACTTTCCAAAAGATTTCAGGAGGTGTATGTATAATTTAAAATTATTTCCTGTTAAATTTTAAGCAACGTGATAGATACGCTTCTGTGCATATTTTTTTCACACATAATCTTTAAAATCACACCTAGAGAATGTTATTATCATGATTTTGAGTGAAATAACTTAAAGTAGGTTATACAACTAGCAACTGACAGAGATGACCTTGAAACTTAGTATTGCGTGACTCCAAAATGCATGCTTCTGCCTGGGCACAGTGGCTCACGCCTGGAATCCCAGCACTTTAGGAGGCCAAGGCGGGCAGATCAGTTGAGGTCAGGAATTTGAGACTAGCTTGGACAACATGGCGAAACCCTGTCTCTACTAATAATAAAAAAATAGCTGGGCGTGGTGGTGAGGACTGTAATCCCAGCTACTCAGGAGGCTGAGGTGGGAGAATTGCTTGATCCTGGGAGGTGGAGGTTGCAGTAAGCGAAAATCTTGTCACTGCACTTTGTTTGGTGAGGGTGACAGAGGGAGATTCTGTCTCAAAAACAAACAAACAAATAACATAAAACCATGTTTCTTCATTTTGGGGTAATTAGCAGAATTTGAGTATTAACTGTATATTACATGATAAACCAATGATACACGTCTGAACTTAACAATATAACTAGTAATATAAGAGAATATCCTTCTTTTAGTATAGACACCCAGATTATTCTTAACTATCAATCAGGAGAAAAAAGTGTGAGTGTGAGTGTGTGTGTGTGTGAATGTGTGTGAGTGAGTTCATTGTAGACATGCTGAGAGACAGAAGCAGACACAGAAACATAAACAGAGAGACAAGGAGCCCAATGTGGCACAATATTAATGATTGGTGAATCAGGATGAAAGTATATGGGAATTCCTCATAATATTCTTGCAATATTTTCTGTAGGTTTGAAATCATTTTGAAATAAAATAAACAACAAAAGGGAAAAAAACAGAAACAAAATGCATGTTGCGTCTACTACCACATTCTTTATTCTTTTATTGCCACAAATCCTTTAATCAGTAGTTGAGAAACCTTACATTCAGAGCTGGAAAAGAAGCAAGGAAGCTGGTAAAGATAAGAGCATATCTTTAAATATCTTGGTGGAGTAGGGTTATAACAATTGAGTGCCAAAATTAGCACTGAGCTTCCTGTAACCCTAGGCAAGGAGAGACACATAATGGGTATCTCTCTTTTGGCATCTAGTAGAAGAAACTATAGATAGACACACATGTTATCCTGGATTCCACTTCTAAACGAACTTGTCACAAAGGATACTGAAGAATACATTGGAAGATGTTCTCAGTAGCACTTTAACCAAGACTCCAAAAAATATTCTGCAAATACCTGTTTGTTATATATAGCATTAGTCTGGATGAACACTGAAATATTACTGCTACATCATAATTCCATAAAGACAATTCTTTATGGACCTCAAAGAAGATGGTTCATGGATACCACTCTCTGCTGATCTGCCTTAACCTAAGGATAAAATATGGAGAATTTTAAAGTTGAATAATCAGCATGTTTTTAATCCAGTATTTACTTGAGATGTCAATGCTTTTGTTTTGTTTTTACATAAGTAATGAGATGCACACTGTTTCTTAATTTTTAGTATGAGAAAATTTGCTAACTGCTTTATAGTTATATAAATATATGGTCATTTTGCAAAAGATTGTTTACAAGATTCATTAAGCTATATTTGTAAATAGCAGGGAGTCATATGAAAAACAATATAGTGTGGAAATTTATGGCTTTGGGGTTCTTTGGGGTATGGAGTGGTCAGTGAAATCTTCCCAAAGGAGGTGACATTTGAGCTGATAGCTATTAAATAATTAAAAAAAAAAAACCACCAAAAGTAGTAAATTTTACTCTGGAGGTAGGTTCAAGGAACAAAGATAGCTCAAAAGATGAAGTGACCAACTCTGAGTCACAGTAGAGATGACATTTGTAATAAATATTAAAGGATGAGTTTTCCCAGGAGGCAAGGGAGAGAGGTATTATGAGGAGAGGAAGCTGCATCTCCAAGGACAGGGAAGCATGAAAAAGCAAGAGCACACTAGGTAATTTTAAGTTGCTTCATGTGGTATAAGCCTGCTCATGTAGGTAAGGGGTCAGAAATCAAGCTGGAGGTCAATAGACGCACATTATAAAGGACTGTATATAAAATTCCAAGGAGTTTGAGTTTTGTTCTGGGAAGCATGAGGGCTGTATTTTAGTAAAGCACTACTTGTGACGGATTGGGAAAAGTGACTGGAGAAGTGTGAGGCTGGAATCAAGGAAAGGCTGCTGTGATCACCCAGCAGAGCTGATGAGATAGCACTGAGGAGCTAGCGAGAGTGAGATGGAGTAAGAGCAAAAGGTGGAATGGAAAGACATTTAGGCATTAAAATCAATTGATTTTGGTAACTGTGGGACAACTCTGCAAGTGATAAGAACTATGGGAGGAAAAAATACATCTGTCCTGGGGTCAGAGGCCCTATTATATTGAGCATCCAACAACTTACCAACTACCTGACTCATGGTAGGAGCCCAAATGACCCATTGTTAAATAAATAAACATTTCTAGCTTGAGTGACTGGGAAAATAGCAATGTCTCAGCCAGACATTCAGCTAATGACACAGAATCGAGGACACTAGCTGATACACATAGGGCTTCTCTAGGATTAGAATATATTTATCTAATTATTGTGATGATGGAACATTTACTGAGCACTTACCGTATACTAGGCACTTGATTAAGCACTGTACATACAATATTGCAATTAACAGTATGAGTTATGACCATAATTGTCACAGAGGAATTCCTCTGTGGGGAATGAATGATCGCTATAGTCGCCATTTTAGAAACGAGGAAGCTCAGGCTCTGAAAGATTAGGAAACTCAGCCAATATCACAAAGTTAGTGAGTAGCAGAGCCAGGCTTTGGATACAGATTAGTGTGATTCAAAGCCTATATTCTTTTTAAAAAATATATTTTGTTTTACTTTACCTTCTGGGATACATGTACAGAACATGCAGTTTTGTTACATAGATATACATGTGCCATGGTGGTTTGCTGCACCTATCAACCTGTCATATAGGTTTTAAGCCCTGCATGCATTAGTTATTTGTCCTAATTCAAAGCCTATATTTGTAACCAGGATGCACAGAGATTGAAACAGAGCAAACTGTTCAAGGTCACATAGTGAGCAAGAGTTTCACAGGGGCTGGAGCCATCTCTTTCTCTTACACCACATGTTTTGGCTGAGAAGGCTAAATTCTGATGATGTCTTACTATAGGACTCAGACTATAGATATGTACCAGCTGTTATGGAAAACATGCAAAACTGCACAATTTACTGGGAAGACATCAGTAAGTCCTCTACTTTCCTTTCGTCTCCAGCTAATGAACAGCTTAGTGCAGTGACTTTACTACTGAAGATGGAAAGGTGTTAAAAGCAGAAGAAACTGGGCTTACATAGGGAGTACCAGAACACAAGATGTGATGTTATTTTTACTATAATCTGCTGATAACCAAAGGACTTAGGAGCTCCAAATAATATTTGTAAACAATAATTTTCTCAGAATATTGGCATTTTTATACTCCTGGCAAACTGCTGAGATATTAAAAATGAATGTTGGCATTTAATAACTTTCATAATTGCACATGAACACCAAGTTTCTATCTCAATGGAGAAGAAGATTGTTTGAGAGGTATGGCTTGAGAAGCTGTGGGAATATTCTTCCTTCAAATATCTGCCTTTATCAAACAAAATAGAGGTGCACTGATAAAGGAAATTTAAGGATTAGTAACAGTTCAGGGGTGACATTATATAGGATCTAATTTTACCTATGACTGTCTTTCCTGCCTCTTCTTGAGGGCTTCAATTTTAAACTCCTTTATGGGGAGTCCCATTATTTGCTGTGTAGTGCTACCTGGCAGAACCAAGTTTCCTCATGGTCAGGATCTGTTAAATAGTAACTTTAGTTCTGTCCTAAGAGCATCCCTTTGTTCCATAAAAATGATACCTCACATATTGGAGGACAGCTCTTTATTCCACTATGTCCTTTCTCTACAAGGTTTTAGAATGAAGAGCTGTAGTCACCAATATGATAAGAATGTAGATAAAACCAGTCTTTATTTATTGACCATATCAGATAAAGTTCTAGATGGCTTTTATGGCTGGTATTTTATTTAATCCTAACTAGGACACAAAAACAGAAGTGATCATTATTTCTGTATTATAGATAATAATTATTTCTGTATTATAGATGATAATTATTTCTGTATTATAGATTATTATAAAAATCTTAATCTCTGGAATCAGACCTATTTGAATTCAAATTCAAGAACCATCATTTACTCATTGAGTAACCAGGTACATTTTTAACACCTAAATCTCAATTGAGTATTAAAATTAACACTCAATTAGGTGTTAGAATTTGAATTCAAATGGGTCTGATTCCAGAGATTAAGATTTTTCTATTATACCAAACAGTCTCTCAAGTTTTACCTTCTTGGGCTTTTTTTTTTTTTTTTAAGGTTTTCATTTCTTCCTTTACACACATTATGTCTAAATAGTTATATATGTAAAAGGGAGTTCACTTATGGAGAAACATATGTTTACTGTTGAAGTTTACATCATATTTACTTTGAGTCATTTTCTAGGAAAGCTCATAACCAGATGAAAATCTAGTTAATGAACTTTTCTGAACATTATTTTGTGCTAATGTTAAGAAAATAAACATAAAAATAACATGGGCAGGTCAAGTTGAAACTATTCCCTTTAATTCTTGATGAATGGGAGGAGTAGAGATTAGACAGTTTTTTGAAGGTCTGTGAGCCCATGATGGGGATTTGATTCCAAGTGTTCTAAGAGATTGATATGATCTGATTTTCCTTTTTTTCTCATTCCATTAAGTGGAAAACAAACTAAAGGACCCACGTAGAGGCAGGGAAACAAGCAATGTTGGTGATAGGAGGAAGTGAAACGGAGTGAGGGACTAGAGTGATGGATAAAGGGGAAATGGACTCACCAGGGGGAAGTAAACTAGGGTGATAGTCTGGGAGAGGTAGACTAGGGGAAAATGGAACAGGGTGAGGGACTAGGGTGATGAATGAGGTGAAAATGGACTAAGGAAAGATGGATAGGAGACATGGATTAGGATGATGGACTCAGGTGACAGACAATGGTGAAATGGACTAAAGAAAGTGGACCAGAAAGAGAAAGATGGACTAGGGAGAGGAGTGGACTGGGAGGAGTGGGCTAGGGTAATGAACTTGGGAGATGGAGTATGGGGAGAGGTAGTGGGATAGTGGAGGGAGAAATAATGGGCAGTACTGGGATTTGGGATATACTTTTTGAATGAAGGTGGCAAAAATTGCCAAATGATTGGCTGTGGGGTTGTGTGAAACTAATTTCACTTCTAAAAATGTATTCTAGTTTGCTAATCATGAACCTTGTGCAAGATATAAGAATGTTCATGTTTTTAAATAGCAAAACATTGGAAAGGTTTTACTTTAAAAATTAGAAGCTAGTTAAGTATGTTGTAGATAATTCTGGAATGATACAATCCAAAATTGAGCAGATGTCTTGTCTGGATTGTGAGTTTTTCCACAGTTTCTTTCCTTCCTTCCTTCCTTCCTTCCTTCCTTCCTTCCTTCCTTCCTTCTTCCTTCTTCCTTCTTCCTTCCTTCTTCCTTCCTTCCTTCTATCCTTCCCTCCTCCTTCCTTCCTTCCTCCCTTCCTTCCTTTTCTCCCTCTTTCTTTTGATCTTTACTTCTTTTATTTTGTTTATCTAAAATCTTAAGAGAAATGTCGGATATAGTATACATCTAAAGAAAAATTTTTTAAAAAAATGTTTAAAATGAGTCTGTTTTATTCTGTTAAAAAAAGTCACTTTCGTTTAAAAAGTAAACCTATCTTTATTTGACTGTACTTCTGCACAGCAGGATCAACTGCTTTTCCATTTAAAATGTATCCCCAAAACACAGTTCAGTTGGGCATCCTCTGAAGGACTTCAAAGATACCCCTGATAGATTTATATGTAGTAATATGAGCCCAAACTGCGGCTTACACTGAGATTCATACCTGTTTGAAAACTGGCTGGCTACATGTTTATTTATATACATAGTTTTGTCATGGTTGGAGGTGGTGGAATGGGGAAGGTTTCAGGGAAGGAGGAAAGTGGAATGGTGAGAACAACTGTGTGCCTATGACATGCCTGTCATAGCCTGGAGACTGAGGTTATAGGTAATTACACAGGATTTCTGTGGTGCATGGAAGAACAAAGACGGCATCTTTGGTATTCAGGAAGAGAAGCATGGCACTGAATGGATGCAAATAACCTCCTTCTCAGTGTGGGGTATCACACAGTCAAACTTTGGCATTTTGAGGATGCCTGGGAGTGCAGAACAGCTAGAAGTACCAGTTCTGGGAGCATCCTGACAAGGTAGTGTCCTTGGAAGTGCTGAGAGTTCCTCTCCAAATGGATTCATCATCTAACATGAAAGAGGGGGAAATGGGGAAGTAACTGTAAAACACAGTAAATACCATAAAGTACCTGGAGTGAATGGGCTTCATGTGAGCCTACATATGGCATTTATAGTCTTCAAAGAGTTAACAAGTTGATGTTTGGAGTTAAAATCCTTTGTTATAAAAAATAAAATATAGATTATCATCTTTAATGTAACCCTATTTATATACAAAGGGTTGTATCATGTGGTGGGGTTGAGGCTACCATAGAATATAGAGTCTTAGCTCTCGAATCCTAGAGAAGAGAAGACACTGGAAGTTCTCTAAAGCCTTCAGTCAACTCCAGTCACCCAAATAGATGGTTCTTCGTTTCTAAATGGCTCTTTTGATGGTACCTACTAACTCCCTTTTTGGTGTATCTGATAGTCTAATTTCTCTCTTCTCCCAATAATGTGCTTGCAGCCATGGACAGAGAGGGCTGTCGTGGCTGAGAGGATGAATGGGGTCTCAAACCCAATCTGTGCTGTATTCATCAACCTATGTGTCCAGGCTTGGTGAAATGATGGCTTTATTTTTATTATTATTTTTATCTGAGGAAGAAATTTAAATAACTAATAGGCCCCAAAAAGGTGAATTTTTATTTTATTTTTTTAAAATTATTCACTCATCACTTGAACCCAGGAGGTGGAGGTTGCAGTGAGCCAAGGTCGCACCACTGCACTCTGGCCTGGGCAACAAAGCGAGACTCTGCCTCAAAAAAAAAAAAAATCACTCAAAGTCACCACACATGCTCAAGGGCAATGTAGAACATGGGCCAGATCCGTTAACTCTGGCCACAACAAATGTTCATGATGTTCAGTGGAAATTTGCACAATTCTATACTTTTTAGGCTGACAGGACCCAAGTGCAGAAAACAAACTGAACCAGGTCCTATGCTAGACATGTTTTGTTTAGCATCTCATTCAACCCATACAAAATTCTTTAAGAGCAAATTTTGTTCTACTTTATAACTTAGAAAGCTGGAGCTCATACCTCTTGAGTACTTTTACCTAGACGGCAACGGAATCAGGACACCAACTTGTGTTCATTCCATATGACTTCTTGAATTTGCTACTGATAGTTCTTTCAGTCTTTATAATCATTGGCTTCTTCTTGTTGGATCCCTCTTTAGTCACTTCACGGGGTTCCAATCTCTGTTTACTGATCCTTCATCAATTAAGTAGAATGTTACAACTCGTCTCTGTCTGATTAGGGCCCAGACACTTTCAGCTCTAACAATATTAGAAAAGATATTATCTCTGAATCACAACCATTTTTCTAATGTTATCAAATTCATCCTTGTGGCTTCTGGCTCCAGCTTTAAGTTTTTGACTCATTCACTCAATCTCTTCACATCTTCTTTTTTTCTTTTTTTTTTTCCATGACAGAGTCTTACTCTTACCCAGGCTGGAGTTCAATGGCATGATCTCAGCTCACCGCAACCTCCACCTCCCGAGTTCAAGTGGTTCTCCTGCCTCAGCCTCCTGAGTAGCTGGGATCAGAGGTATGCACTTCCAAGCTTGGCTAATTTTTGTGTTTTTAGTAGAGATGGCAGGATTTCACCATGTTGGCAAGGCTGGTCTCGAACTTCTGACCTCAGGGGTTCTGCCTGCCTTGGCATCCCAAATTGCTGGGATTACAGGTGTGAGCCACCGCACCTGGCCTCTTCATATATTCTAAGACATTTTATCAATTGCCTAACATAATTTTTTTTTCACAAAAACATTTTATTTAATAATTCTATTTTTTTTTAAAAAACCCCTCTTTTATCGCCTGTATTAGGACATGCCCTTAGATCTAACCAATATTAATTTACAGTCTCATTTCTCTCCAGAAGTAGAATCCTACAAGCATTTTTACTGTACATCTCTTTGGCAGACATGCACATAAACCATTCTACGTGACTACATAGAAATTTTGGTTGTTTCTCTCTCTATAGCTGGTCTCCAATTGTTTCATCTGCATTTGTTCCCTCCCACCCCGACTGACTATAACTCCTTGTTGGCAATGTTGTATACATAGAAGTTATGTAATACATGTGAGTTAGTTGATCTAATTCTTTCTTTACTCAATGTTCCCAGCTCCCTCTTTGCCCTTTCCTGGTCACCTGGTTAAATAGGCTCTTGATAAATACTTACTGAATGAAATAATGGTCCAGCACCAACCAAATATAAGGTGCTATTGTAATAATTGGCTGGATCAGTCAGATACTTGGGTATCATGTGGAATTCTGTGGCAGCATTGGAATCCCACTGGATATATGGAGGTCTGGCAGAGAGCAGACTGTGGTTGAGTTTGGGCACAAGAGGGTGAGGGTGGAAGTGGGAAAAATTGAGCAGGAGTCATTATGTCTGGGGATGCAATGGAAGGTCTGAACAGGAAAAACAGCAGCTGAATAGAAGACGGGCTCTTAGGATTGAGAAATCAGGTGTGAACATCAGCTACAATAGTAACGATAATGACAATGTTAATGAAGTGACAATATTAAAAGTAGACTCTCCCATGGTTTGTTGTTAAAGTATTTCCTGAGATTCATGACTCTTCATTCCAGATATGAAACCTAAAATTCATTTCGGAAAAGGACAAAATGGATCATAAAGTAGATTAAATTATAATTAATTCTAATTAATGACATTCATACTGGATAATTGGGTGAAACAGAGTGGTGCCTGCCAACTTAGTTTTAAATGTGTCACATATAAGATGGATTGATGGGGAGAGATGGGGAAAGATCTAGAGAGAGATATGTGATAAGATAATTATTTTAATAGTAAAATGTTAATTATAGAACCTGAGTAGTATGTATGTTTACTATAAAAATACTTAAACTATACTGCTTGTTTGAAAATTTGTATATTAAAATCCTGAATAAAATTCATCATAGAGAAATTGCTTCAGTTCTCTTAAAAATAACCACATTGGAGCCTACAATGATTAGATCAAAATACTAGCTTTTTAGGTAGAATTTTCTGGCATAGTAAAAACCTTCATATTTATACAAGGTTTTACTGTCCACCAAGTACAAAGTGTGATGATTGGGGGAAAAAATTCTGGAGCCAGACTAACTGATTTCTGGTTACTATCTATGAACAAATCATTTAACTTCTTTGTCCCTTAATCCCTTTGTTGGTTGAATCTATGTAACAATTCTCCCAGGGTACTTGTGAAGAGTAAATAAATCAGTACATGTAAAATGCTTAGAAAGTGATGAGAAGCAAATAAGCTCTAGATTAATGCCATCTATTATATTGTAATAATAATTATTATGCCTTCCCATTGGCTCATAGGGCAGAAATGATCACTTTGCTTTTCAGCTGAAGTAACTGAGGTCTAGAGAAACATCTCTTGCTCAAGGCCATATGGATTAGTTTTATGTGATACTGGGACTAAAGTCAGTTTCTTCTTTGCCTCTTTCAAAATACACTTCTCCTTGTCTCTCAACTCCCATTGCAATGTCCAACCAAATGGAGGTGCAAGGAAGTGCTAAGTGTGTGGCTGAGTGCCTGGCACACGGTAGACACTTAAAAAGTAGATGAATGATAAAAGTTCATTTATAGCACTTACTGTGTCTGTTACCCTGCTAAGCAATATATATCATCTCAAAGAATCCTTGTAAAAGCTCTAAGAGTTTAGTTTTACTGCCCTTACTTTCCAGATGAGAGCAGAGGCTTTAGAAAGGGTATGTTGCCCAAGATCCCACAGCTAGCAGGTCTGAACCACAGAGCCATCTGGTACCAAAGCTCATGCATTTTTAACAACCCTGCAACACTTTCATGAATGAAGGGAGGCTGCTTCAAAGCTTAGCCGAATGGTAGAAATTAGGAGACATGAGCCATTTTACCCTTAATCCACAGTGCTTTCCCCTGAGTCCTTCTCATCATAGATGCATTGTATTACTAGCAAATGTGAATGTTTTGATGAATTAGGCAAAACACTTCAACTGCTTGTACATTGCAACATCTTCCCTTCAAAGGCCAGGGAATGTAGACTGTACGTTCTTTGTCCAGCTCGTCTGAATGCGTCAACGCTGTCTGGGAGGCACAGAGGTGGATGCTTTCCTAGCAGGGGTGAGGCCCCCCCTGAATGTCCAGCTCCTGTATTTGTAACATTGCCATGTGCTGCCACTGGGCCAGGGAATGAAGGGGCCCATGGTCCCAGCCTCCTCAGATTACACAAGCCAAGAAAAATGTGCAAATCGCATGAGAAAAGCAGGCAGTCCCCAAACATCTTTATTTGTTCATTTCTGTGCCCTGATGCTTTGATTGCAGCCTTGCCCTTAGAAATTTCGAGATAAGTATCAGCAGCTGGACACAGGGTAAATCGGAGTCATAGACTCCGT